TTGTCTCCATCTCTCTCTCCGGAACATGAGGGGAAATATCATAACGGGCGTGTCTTAAGGAAAACTTAATGGGCCTGAATTTTCAAGCCCATATTGACTGCACCAATAAGAGACCCTCTCGCTGAATTGGAGACTCGCTCTCAACGGAAGAACACATGAATCTTTTCTTTTTCAACCATACAAGTAGCTCCCAATATGCAAATAACATAGAATAAACACAAAAAAGATACAAAAGAATGTTTACAAATCATAACATACTTCGACATCAACAAATTACAATACGTTTCAAGTTTTTTTCGTACACTCTCTTTCAATTATTAGACCCCTTGAAGAACAGAGAAGTACCAACAGTTGCAGAAACAACGAACAAGCTCCCTAAAACAGCGGGTAAAGCACCGCTATCTTTAATCGAATTCATGAATTGACTGTCTTGAACAGAATTCAATAGCTGTTTTCCGTAACTCTCTTTCTTCTCTTCTTTCTTAGATGTCGATCCGTCTTCTTGATCAAACCTCAAGAACTCTTTCAACCATAAGGCCGACATTTTCGGGTATCGTCTAAGCCCATCTTTGTAATCAATGTAATACAAACCGTATCTCACACCATATCCACTGTTCCACTCAAAGTTATCTAGCAATGACCATATGTAATAGCCTTCCACTCTCACTCCATCTTCACTGTTAAATTCAACACAAAGAAACATTTGAACTTCTTTTCGATGATTTCCGGACAATTTAGACTAGGAATGTTCAAATTTAGATAAACCGATTAATTCATACTGAAAATAGCTATAATCATATTTATTGCTTACTAGATTGCTTGATGAATCGCGTGGATATGTCCTTCTATGTACTCCAATCTTTCTGTGTCGATTGAAGGATTGTACATTAACAGGTTTTGACTCTGTTCTGCTACTTCACCATACCCTGAGATTAATCATGGAAAATGTTGCATGAGAAATCGAGAGAGTCATATACAAATTACTCATGTAAATAAACTTAGTGGGTTCATACCGTTTTCGGTTATGAGAATCCGAGGATTGTCATAATTTTTTTTCATATACTTCAAAACGTTTCTAAGTCCTGTTGGATATGTGAAACTCCACTCTGATCCTCCTTGTTTCGCTATAAATTTCCCATCTATGTTGGTTTCTGCAAAATGTGTTAGTAGGAACCATAAATTAGTCACAAAGTTTGT